TCGAGGGAACGAAATAGTAAATCGTGCGCACGATTTAGCCTACTCTTTTTTTCCTGCATGCCATGTGCAAGGCTCCGTACAAACCTGTTTCTTGATTTGAAACAATATTACTCATTAGAACGTGCAGAACTAAGAATTTATTTTTTTCTATTAAGATATTTATTTTGTTAAGGAAAAATGACTGGAAAAGTGTCGTGTTCTGACCACAAAAAATTAACTGTCTGGTTTTTACAACTTTCACATTGGAGCAAAAATCTGCCTTTAAACTTGAAAGAAATAAAAATGTGACATTTATCGTGATAATTATCGATATCGACTGATATGAAAAAACATTATCATGATAATTTTTTTGGCCATATTGCCCAGCCCTATACACAACCATTCAAAAGTGGGCTAGGAAAGTTTTTTTTTTAATGTTTTTAAAGACGTCTCTTATGCTCATTAAGGCTGCATTTATTTGATCATAAATACAGTAAAAGCAGTAAAATTGTGAAATATTATTACATTTAAAATAACTGTTCTCTATTTGAATCATTTTTTTAAATGTAATTTATTCCTGTGGTGCAAAGCTGAATTTTCAGGATGATTACTCCAGTCTTCAGTGTCACAAGATCCTTCAGATCTTACTCACCCCAAACTTTTGAATGGTAGTGTAAATTTTGATTGTATTTTCTCCTTATGTTTTTGTACAAAAAACACACTATTAACATTTTAATGGCTATTTTCTACTCTCTCTCCGACTTTTAAAATAAAAAAGGTCTGTTTTTAACTGCTGTATCTTCACATGTAAAATAAATAACAGTGATTTGCTGGTTAAGATGCAGGATTGTGAATTATATAAATACCACTCACCTGCGCCATGACTTGATTAATACGCTGCACAGCCTCATGCGTGTCATCAGACAACGGCAGCGCCAGCGTTTGAGTGCGGACACGACCCTCCAGTAATTCCTGTACGGCACAGACCCGTGTCAGCGCTTTGTAACGGGCCTTCCTGAGAGGGACACTTCCACCCGTCTTAACCTGAGCCAGCCGCATGGCCACATCCTGCACAGCCTCCACCAGCTCCTCACTGATCTCAAAGGCATCTTGAGCCTGGCCCTGCCGGAACGGCCCCACAACCCCTTCATTCAGCAAGTTCTGCACCTCCTGGGTCAGCTCCTCAATGGCCAGCCGAGACGGATGCGTAGCGTTGCCCTCCAGGTAGCGAAGCAGACCCTCCACCTCTCCTGCCGCACGCTTCCGAGCCTGCTGAAGCTCCGGCCGGCCCTCCGTCTCCACCTGGGTCAGGAAACAAAACATGGTTAAGAAGAACAAACTAGTGTGACTTCATACCGAACTAAAAAGTTGGATGGCCTGTCCTGACCTTATCGACCTCCAGCAGTAATCGGGTCAGCTCTCGCTCCAGTCGTTTGTACTCCCTGTCGCTCTGCAGGCCGCTGTAAGAGCACACCTGTGGACCCAGGGTGGCAATCTCCCTTTGCACCTCGTCCAGCCGTAACAGGGCTGGGTGCTGCCCAGGGTATGGGCCCTGGGGTCCCGCATAACCTGTGAAGGGTCCTGGCATCTGCGGAGTCTGTGGCTGCTGACTGCCATGATCCATCGTCCTCTTCCCACCATCAAAGGGTTTCCTAAACAGGCTGAAGGAGAAGAGAGAGGTGAGAGCTGGTCAGGATGTGGAAATAGTGTGATGTTGGGACAATACAGTGGATGAATTTCAATACAAGTAAAAGAGAAGATTTTTATGGGTAGCTGGCAGGAAAACTACTTTAAACAACATTTTGTTAATTCTTTTATTGTGCAGGTAGAATTTATGAGCTCATACTAATTGAAAATAGCAGACTATATAGAATATTGTGAGAAAAAAATCATTTTTTACTCTGCATGACCATTTAAATTAACTAGTGAAAGCAGCAAGAGGATTAAAACGGCAAAAAAAACTAAATAGCAGCACCTAAAATTATACAATCGTTTCTTTAAACAAACTCTAGCATTCAAAATGTTTTGCTTTTGTTTTTGAAAGAAAACGTTTATGCTTACCATGGCTGTATTTTATTTAATCAAAAATACAGTAAATTATTAATTATAAATGTCTTTACTGTCAGTTTTTGGAATAACTTACTGACCCAGCCGAGACGGATGCGTAGCGTTGCCCTCCAGGTAGCGAAGCAGACCCTCCACCTCTCCTGCCGCACGCTTCCGAGCCTGCTGAAGCTCCGGCCGGCCCTCCGTCTCCACCTGGGTCAGGAAACAAAACATGGTTAAGAAGAACAAACTAGTGTGACTTCATACCGAACTAAAAAGTTGGATGGCCTGTCCTGACCTTATCGACCTCCAGCAGTAATCGGGTCAGCTCTCGCTCCAGTCGTTTGTACTCCCTGTCGCTCTGCAGGCCGCTGTAAGAGCACACCTGTGGACCCAGGGTGGCAATCTCCCTTTGCACCTCGTCCAGCCGTAACAGGGCTGGGTGCTGCCCAGGGTATGGGCCCTGGGGTCCCGCATAACCTGTGAAGGGTCCTGGCATCTGCGGAGTCTGTGGCTGCTGACTGCCATGATCCATCGTCCTCTTCCCACCATCAAAGGGTTTCCTAAACAGGCTGAAGGAGAAGAGAGAGGTGAGAGCTGGTCAGGATGTGGAAATAGTGTGATGTTGGGACAATACAGTGGATGAATTTCAATACAAGTAAAAGAGAAGATTTTTATGGGTAGCTGGCAGGAAAACTACTTTAAACAACATTTTGTTAATTCTTTTATTGTGCAGGTAGAATTTATGAGCTCATACTAATTGAAAATAGCAGACTATATAGAATATTGTGAGAAAAAAATCATTTTTTACTCTGCATGACCATTTAAATTAACTAGTGAAAGCAGCAAGAGGATTAAAACGGCAAAAAAAACTAAATAGCAGCACCTAAAATTATACAATCGTTTCTTTAAACAAACTCTAGCATTCAAAATGTTTTGCTTTTGTTTTTGAAAGAAAACGTTTATGCTTACCATGGCTGTATTTTATTTAATCAAAAATACAGTAAATTATTAATTATAAATGTCTTTACTGTCAGTTTTTGGAATAACTTACTGACCCCAAACTTTTGAACAGTAATGTACATTCAAATGTTATCAAATAAATAAATAAATATAAGTTCACAGACATAGTGTGTGCTTCAACTACACGTATACAGTGGCCTCAAAAACACGTTTCTGGGTCCCATTGACTTCCATAGTATGGAGAGAAAGAAAAAAACATATGGACGTCAATGGGAACTAGAAGCTGTTAGGTTGCCCACATTCTTCAAAATATCATGTTCCACAGAAGAATTACTTCACACGAGATTGGAATGACATGAGGTTGAGTAAATGATGACAGCATTTTAATTTTTTAGCGAATTATCTCTAAAGACACACTTAAAATTAATTTCATTGTATTAAATCAAAATAACAAAACATCAGGCAAACATGTGGTGACAAACAAATGTTTCTTCTTCCTGAATTACTTTACCCAGCAGGTCATTTTTAGTGGATGTCTATAATGAGAAGTTCAAAAAGAAAAGAAAAAAAAAAAAAGATACGATCCACTTCAAGACTGAACATGTGGTGACAAACAAATTTTTCTTCTTCCGAAATTACTTTCCCCAGCAGGTCATTTTTAGTGGATGTCTAAAATAAGAAGCTCAAAAAGAAAAGAAAAAAAAAAAAAAAAGATACGATCCACTTCAAGACTGTATTATTGTGTGGTCAGGTGGGATAAAAAATTTAAAAAAAGGTTTAATCCTAACCCAGGTAAACTTCTATTATGAAAAATACAGAAGAGAGGTTTTGTGCGCAGGTTGTATGTGTTGTACAGCTGTGATGACTAAGGCGGACTAAGCCAAATGTTTCCAACTACACCCATCATAAACAAGACACTAACCAAATAGGCTTGCCAATGCAGGAAACAGTATGAATGCATGACATCACAAACCTCCGTTTGTTAGGTGGACAACCTTTGTGAACAAACAGTTTCCCAAAACCCAGAAGGTTCATATAACTTGCTTAATCTGTCCATCTGAAATGCAACCATTCATGCTTACCAAGTCTGACTTTCTGTAATAAATCCATTCATCTGATTTTGACAACAACAGGCAGGTTGCGACAACCCAACTTACTTGAAGGTCTTGGAAAGTGTACTCCCTACCTGCCGGTGTCATGAAATCATGCGGTCCTACTCATTTTCACAAAAAGATGGCAAAATCTGGCTATTAGCAGCACATGTTATTTAAGTGTATCAACCCAAAAGCACCTACAAACCTGACCTGCAGAAGATGTTTAGAGAAATGAGGTGATCCCTAAGAGCAGATGCCCTTCAAGAACACAGTCCATTCAGAGCCGTCTTACCTCTGCAGATTCAAAGTCCTAGACAATTTTATTGGCAGCAGACTGCCGCTGCTATTCCCTAGGGAAGTGTCGGTGATGTCACGGACAGATCATATTCATGGTCCTTAAAGAGACAGCGTCCATTAGCACCCAGACCATATAGTGCTCATGAAATACATTTGATAACAGGCATGGAAGAGATTGCAGACAGCTTTAAATATAATGTAGAGCTACTGAGCAATTCCATTTAAGTTCTTGGTAGATGCTTTCTGATCAATGCACCTAACAAGAAGTACACAAGTATAGTATTTTGGGTTACACTTTATTTTAAGGTGTCCTCGTTACAGTGTAATTATACATTTAAGTACAGAGTAATATTAATTAACTACATGTAGGCTACTTACTATAGTGTTAGGGTTAGGATTAGGCTTAGGGTTACTTGCATGTAATTATGCATAATTAATTGCTATTATAATAGTAAGTACATGTAACGTGCAACAAGGACACCTTAAAATAAAATGTTACCGTATTTTCTATGTAGCCTTTTCCAGAGCAGGAAGTCAAGGATACAATAAAAGCATGTGAGCAATTTATTATTATTGTATTATTTAAAAATGCAGTTCAACATCAGATTAGCATCCCCTACTGCACTACTTGCAAGACAGCAAAAGAATAGGCTTAAAGTGTTGGGTAAATTTAAATTTTAGGCTTTGAATTTGCACCAGAGCTGGACTCACGCGTGCTTACTTTACGACTCCTGTTCGCCACCACTAATTAGGGCTGTGCGATATTGAAAAAAAATGTGATACGCAATACCTTGTTAAAAAATGCGATATTCGATATTGCTTAAAGTGTGAAAAATCTATTCAAATTATATTTTAAAATATTTAAAAATGAAAATTATATAACCAATTTGTTTCACATTCTTTCTTGGAAAAGAAAGGATTACTACATCTTCTGAAAGTGACCAGCAGTGTTTTAGCAGTAAATAAAAAGTGATTTCACAAATCATCATTTTAATCATTTTAACATCAATGTGAATGACACAAAAAATGAATGACACTAATTGTATATCATTGTGATTTTGCTGTGAACAGTCAGTAAAAAAAAGAAAGAAAAAGGGGGGGGGGAGAAAAACAAATACACAATTTACAAGCACAGATAAAATAAACAGTCGTATTCAGGTACATACATTTAATAATTAAGTGTAAAATAACACTGCATTGTGTTCACTGTATGAATTAAATTTGGATTAATCTTTGTTATAGCTGTTTTGTTGTTTGATTAACATTAGTGACATTCAGCAGCATGTATTTATAGGCTGCTGTCCCTTTAAATCCGACTGCACGGATCCAGTATAATGATACACATCCGATTTCTTTCTCAGCTGCTAGAACTAAAACTTTGACTTTTTGCAACATTTTGATTTAAGTAGCCTATTATTAAAATGATTCAGATATCGCACGCCCTTGCGATATGCATATCACGATATTTACATTTGCTATTTACGATATATCATGCAGCCCTAGCCGGGTCACGATTTTGATTTCACGATTCGATTCACAATTTTTTTTTTTTACAAAATGAGATTTAAGACAAATTATAAATGAAATGTGTCCTTTTATTATTGCTTGGACAAAATACTGTATGTTTCTTTGTGAAACTGAAATATAGCACTATAATAATATACTAATATAGCACTTGTAAATTATTGCTCTTTTGTTGGTTTTGATTGCTTCTATTTTCCTCATTTGTAAGTCGCTTTGGATAAAAGCATCTGCTAAATAACAACATTTAAATATAATGTAAATGTAAATAACAAAACAAATTTTTTTTTTAAGATATCGCACGCCCTTGCGATATGCATATCACGATATTTACATTTGCTATTTACGATATATCATGCAGCCCTAGCCGGGTCACGATTTTGATTTCACGATTCGATTCACAATTTTTTTTTTTTACAAAATGAGATTTAAGACAAATTATAAATGAAATGTGTCCTTTTATTATTGCTTGGACAAAATACTGTATGTTT